ACAGTTAGTAGGATGCTCTCATCTAAAGGCTCACCTCAATCGCAAGAAAATATCATGAGGTGCCGTTCCACCACGAACATGCCAGACCCCATGTTGCGAAGGATGTCCTTTAAAAAAATTGCAGATGTTGGATGGATCAGCTTGGTCAGCCCGCATACTCTCCGAATCTTGCTCTTTCTGATTACCACCTATTCCGGTCCATGCAAGTCAGTTTAGCAAATATACGCTTCCGGAATGTCGAAGAAGAGCGAAAATGGGTGGATAACAGTATTGCCTCAAAAGATGAAGACTTTTTTAGACCCGGAGTCAACAAGATACCAGAAAGATGGCAAGAAGTTGTAGCTACCGCAGGCAATACATTGGTTGATGTACATTTAGTTTTAATTTTGTAATAAGTATGTTTTTGCACGCGAAAAACGGCGGAACTTAATGCACACATCTAATAGACACACTTCTTCACTTTCACTCTGAGTCGCGTGAGCTTCCCACTGCACTAGCATCTACCGTTGACTCTACAGAGCGGTTACGGGAGAGAAGCAGGTGAGTAAGCAAAAAATTGATTCCTAATATACAGAATTCCAGGTACAGAATATGCGTATGGCTTTGAGAAAGTGCGTAGAACAGAAGTGAAGAAGTTTATCGTTGCATTCAGTGCAGAAGGAAGAACATAAAACATGGGACTTGTTTAGTAGAACCTATTATCGAAGTAAATGATAGGATTTTGCTGTAGTTTTGAGTGTAGAATTAGAATGAGATTGGTACATTATCGACGATTGAGGTCATTGGTGATGAATTTGCACCCAGTGATCCGTGCACTCTTGCCCATGAAGGTAGCCCTGCGAACTACATATATAGAAGAAAAGGGACGAAGGCAGTTTACGAGCTCATTGAAAATATGGAAATAAGGACTTAGCGCAGTGGATGTCTCTTCAAGAGCTTCAGTGCTCAAGAGGGGACCCATTTACGCCGGGAAACAACCTTTTAAGATTTTCATAGGTCTCATCGCCAAAAATAGAGATGCAGGCAAGGGTAGCATACCTAACTTAGTATTTCATGGGTACCGTTTCACACCACTTTAGCACAACTCTGCAGAAGAGAAGGCGAATGGAATAAGGGTGGCAGTTCGCCAGTCAGATTGTAGATCACGAAGACGAACTTTGGAAAAGAACATGAACCTATGGCAAGACCGCTCAGAAAATAATAAAGAACCTTTCGAGAGATTTTTGCATCATTCAAGATGGCTCGCTGTTTTTGAAAGTTCAGGAGGCAGGGTTTCACTTCTACTACTAGCCGAAAACCGTCCTTGTATTGGTCGCAGATAGTCGTTTCAAAGGAAGACCCTCTATCATACTTTCAGATGGCCTGCGAAAATGGTCTTTACGCGATCGTATTTGATGGAGGGCATTCCCTGCACCCGAAATGTTTGGACCGTTGAAAGCAGTTGTATTGTCTCCATGGAGTATACAGTCATAGAGTAGAAGTTCTGTTATTGTACTGCATAACTGAGAAGAAGACGCGCGAAGTTTACGAAAAATATTCGAGCAGTTGCGGCTGAACATCGATAAGGAAGCACCACTGCGCATAGTTCTCGATTTCGAAAAAGTCTAAACTTGTGTTCTCCAGCGTCCGTTTCATCTTACACAAGCTTGGACGGCAAAAGAGATTCCTTAGCACTTGAAAACACCCTCTAGGACAGGCAAGATTTCTTGAATTCATGCACGAAGGGTTTTTTTGCAGGGGTCCTGTTCTTTCCGGCTGAGCTGTTCTCTGATGTAGCACTTCAATGGCCCCCGTAATCGAAGTCACGTCGAGCACGGACAATGCCTGGAATTCCTTTACTATTTGAAAAGCAATTGAATCAGTGGGTCTTTTAAAGACCTATGGGGTAAATGGGAGTTCAAGGAGTTGAGAACAAAGATCATCGCTGAAGCTTTTCACAGGAATACTACTTGAGTGATCGAGATTCTGAGAAATCGAAGTTGTTCCAGGCGGTCACGAATTCTTGCAGGTGTCGATCACTCATCGTTGAGTACTTCGATCGACGTTACGAAGGGTCTAAATTATGAAGCGGGAATTGCCCTTATACATCCTAAGTAGGATTTCAGAGAACGAAAACGATTCTTCACTCAACTGACAAGACGAAACTCCATTGAGTGCTCTTTTTCAGAAACCGTAAAGAAACAGAACTTTGCAAACGAATCACCAGCAGAAGAAAGGAAAGAAGTACGAAGGAATTGAACAGTTTGAGATGTTGGAACTCTTACTCTCAAAATTCTTATTTCTTACAAATGTTTTACTTCAATAATGTTTTACTGTCATCACTATGCTCACCTAGTAAAGTGTAACATTGAAGTTAGGGGAGCATGAAAAAACGACATTAAGCAAACACATCGAAAGGAAAAAAGATCAATACACCTTGAAAATGGCTCGTTTCGCCTTTTTACCAAATGAACCACCGTATCCAATTTCCCCTGAGGCTCATCAGTGGTTCGGGATTACTAGAAAAAAGGAATGGGTAAAACATTGTTCCGATCAAGGACAGGAGTGAATATAAAGGTGTACTAGTTAATAAGTTTTGGATCGGTTCGTAGCGATGTGCGGGCAGCATCATTACAATTAGAGTCTTCGCATCTAATCAAGGCTACTTCGCGCCCAGGCTCGAAGAAAGCTCAATTCGGTGCGAACATACAAATGCTCCCTCAATCTTCTGCTCCCAAGCCATTATCAAGTGGACTAGAATAAAAAAAAANAAAAAAAAATGAAAGAAAAAGCCTCAACAAATGAAATTTTAAATTTTACCAAATATAAAGTTATTAATAGTTGGCATTGTGGGTACTAGTCGTTGAAAAGCTATACTTCAGCTCTATGAGGATAGGTTACAAGAACCATACGAGTAGCAATCCATTCAATCGTACTTAGTCCGTACTTACCAACTCCTCTATTCAACCTTCCTACTTCTGCACCATCCTCAGTTCGTGACCTCATACCTCGAGAACTATAGATATACGCAACCTCCCACAATGCATATGCGCCCATCACCACAATATTCATTCGCTGAGGCTTAACCTCTCCCACTATTCATTCCTCGTCACTAGTACTGATGTACTTTTGATAGATATACCCCTTCCCGAACCGGTCGCATTGAAGCATCCCACTCCGTTGTAGCGTCTACATCAAGCGATGATATCCGCACACTTCTTGTCCAACTATTGCTTTTCTCTCCATACGCTAAATTTTCTTCTTTTGCTATCATCATACATCTTCAACTATTCTCCTTTCGCTCACTTATGACTGATGTGGACAGCATCGTTACTATCGAATTTTTACAACCGAGCGAGAAGTAACTCTTCCATGCGAACGTTTGCACACCCCTTTTCAAAACAGTGTCTATTATACGAGGTTGATGCATAATTATTGCGGATTTTTTTCAGCAAATTTTACTTGAAGAAATAGAAATATAGAATAGAAATATCAATAGAAATATCTAGCAAAGACATGTTCAAATAA